AAGATGTTTGCTCCGTGCTTTCTCCAAAAAACGTTTTCGCCAAAATCGTAGAAAATTTCATGATATTTAATTCTCCCTTCTTCTAAATTTTGACGAGAAATGAAAATAGTTTTACAAATGCAGAATTAAATTCGCAGTTTTGAAAAACTCATTCCAGACTTATAGGAAAACTTCACGAAAATCGAACTTAAATATTTTGAGAAATACTATTAAATCGATAAAGATTCAGAACTTCAAAAATTAATAAGTCAGTTTCATGCTTTATTCCGTTTGTAAGATATTTCATGTTAATAAAGAATAATCTATTCATATCAATATCGTACATATATTTATACATAAGTGAAAGCCGGATATAAACTTACGTTTATATCACTATATATTATATTAATTATATATAATGTTACAGAAAATCATTATCCATTAATATTATTTGGTTTTAATATATAGATATTATATACTATCCACAACAGTTTTATATTGCATTCGCTTTTCAAGATATTACACCTTAATAAAAAATCTATTCACATCAATATCATACACACATTTATGCATAAGTTGAAATGGATATAAACTTATGCTTATATCAATATATATTATATTATATTATATTATATTATATTAAATAATAATAATATTGCATAATATAGGTTAAATAAAATAATAAAAACATATGCCTTTTATTGTTTCCACTAATCAACTACTGAAAAATATTTATTCTATCGTATAAACATCACAAAGGTTCTAAATTCCAAATATCTTAAAATCAAATACCCTTAGACGCTAATGATTTCAATAGATANTATCATATTATATCATATTATATTATATTATATTATATTATATGTTGTATACAACAGTTTTATGCTGTTTTTGTTTCTCAAGATATAGCATCTTTAAAAAAAATCTATTCACATCAATATCATATATATATTTATACGAGAGCGAAAACCGGATATAAAGAAGAAAATAAATATTTGCTTGAAGAAGTTGCATAATACCAGGATGATATAATAATATTTTCACCATATCGAGAAAAATATGGGATGGTACGATAATAGAAAAAATAAAACTAACGTTTTACTGAAACATCCATCAGTGTATGTTTCAGTGAAAGCAATCAAGAAATAAACTCTGCAGATCTGTAAAGTTTATTGGCCATAAATGTTAGAGGAGTGAGATGCTGTAAAACTGCATTTTGTTTGTTGAAATTGTAAGGATAGTTTACTTTGCAGTTCGTTTATTTCTTTCTCCAGAAAAGTATCATTTCCGGATCAAAAAAGGCATCGGAAATCCCATTTCTTGAATGAAACGACGCCTAAAAAATAGCCAATTTTCTCCTTGGCGAAGCAATTTATTTGGAAGCATTTTCAAAAGAACAAAATATAGAGATAAAGTCACATTTTTTACGTTTCAAATAGCAGTAAGTCTCCATCCTTTTTAGGAGCTTTTTAAAAGTGCTTTTTGTTCAAATATAAATCTTTCCTTTTTTAGTAAGTCTTGACAATTTAATTATATTTTAAAAGCGCGTGTCACACACACAAGGCATTTTTTTAAAAAATTTAAGTAATTTTTGGCCTCTGAGAAAAAAAAACAGATTTAGTTGGGTTATTCATAACAAAGTTATAAAATAAAAGTAGCGTGTAGTTATTTAAACGTTTTGTTCTAGGTTATTTTATAGTTTTTATGGGTTGAAGCTGTTGTCACGTTAATAGTTATTATTAGAGTGAGTATTTACAAGAAAAAGCTTTGTAATATCTGCAACTGAATTTGAAACATATCCTTTTTTTTATTTATTACAAACATAGGAAATGTAATACTTTATGAAAGAAAAATGAACAAATTATTCAACTGAAACGAAATTTATTCATTCAATGTAAAAATAAATATTTCGACAAAGACAAGTATGAGGGTAAAAAAAAAATGACATGCCTCGCATTCATTAGTTTAAAATAGTAACCGAATATTTTTTTATAAAATGATCTTTACGAGGGTTAAAAATAGTTGCCAGCTGTAGTTTTAATTTTTTTATCAGCATAGAATAAATTATTCGCTTATAGCATAGTTAAATAGTAGGTTTATAATTCATACTAACAGCAAAAACATTCTGCGAAACAGTGCATTGATTTTTTTAAAACTAAGCAAATTTTTAAAAGGAAAATTTTTTTTATATATACGACTAAAGCAATCGAACTATTTAATAAAAAAATGAATTAAAAAAACAAAATAGTTTTCCATTAATTGTATCCGAAGAACAAAAAGAAAAATATTTAATAATATAGGATTTATGTATAATTATAATATTGTTTAGATTTTATGTTGCTATTGAAATGCACAATGTTTTAAACTAGAGCGTAACAAAAATATAATATACTACATAACAATAAAAATTCGAAGCTTTATACAAAAAAAGGGAGTTAAAAATTTTCTTCAAATAATAAAAGGGGAAAATTTTTTAAATGTTTTCTCAAAACCGCATTTAATGGACGTACAAAAAATGCACCTTTTACGACATTCTTTGTTAATCGACGTTTACTTGAAATGTTAATCGCAGCTGAGACTCCATTATCTTTCGACATTCCTTTCAAATTGTAAATATTTGATCTGGTTTCTAATTAAAGAAAAATCCTTCCGTTGTCATGGTAACTGGAAATACGTCCGGGAATTTGTCTTCCCCGTTTGTTTTTTCCCCTCTTTCCTACTTCAAATTTTGATCCAGGAAAATAAACAGGAACATAAATTACCTTTACTTTATCAAACAATCTGAGAGATGCTATTTATAGCCCGGGTGAAATAAAAAAAATTTTTACGTCTAATTATCGTGAAAAAAATCGTCATTACTGAAATATGATTTTGAATTTGTAGATATGATGGAAAGTGCTAGAAGTAGCTGACGGAATGGATGTTAAATTATTCCTATTTTTCAATGGGTGGAGGGGATTTGATAGCTTGAAATTGCACTTTTATTATTTATTTATTTACTATTTTCTTACATTCTGTATACTTTCTTTAAAATTTGGCAATGCACGAATACATTAAACTTTTTTCATTTCCTCAGAGTTATAAAGTATTCCATTTTTCCCAGAAATCGCCTTTTGAATTTCTGAAACATATTTTATTTGCTATAAAAGGAAAAGCTTCGAAATAAATGTAAATGTTTGTGAACAAAAACTCAATATAAATGTTGATTTAATTTATCAATAAGTGCAAAAAAGGCCTATGACATGTTTAAATTCGGATCTTCAAATCAGTCATCTGTAAAATGGAGACTACAAGTTTGAAAAAATAGATAGTTTTACTTATTTAGGAGCAGAATTTAATGACAATGATTTAACCTCAGAAATGCACAAACGAATCACTGATACGAACAGATGTTTTTAGTCTCAAAATATATTTAAGTATAGTTTTCTAAAGTTAAAAACTAAATTTCTTTTTTTATAAATTACTTATAAGATATGTTTTATTATATGAATCTGAGAAATGGGCGCTGACCTCAAGAGATGAGGAGGCATTGGTCATTTCCGAGAGGAAAATCCGGAGAAGTATTTTTTGCGGAACTCAGTTTGGTGAATTATGGCGATGGCAAACAATATTTAGAATTATATAAAATATTTAAACAGCATCATGTCATGAAATCTCCAAAAGATAAAATGGGCCGGAATTCAGGAGGACCGAAACTGCTGGAAACTATTTCCAGACATTCTACATTAATAACTATATCTAGAAATAAACTTAGACATTCTGAAAACTGGAAGACAGTCGCCAAAGAATAGATTTCTGAGAAGGCCAGGGCCCACCCAGGGCTGTTGTTCCACCGACGAAAGAGGCATTTGTTGATTTTGGATACTATTAGAGCAAAGTGGGGCAAGACCGGATAACTAAGAATCGAAGGCTTACTGGTGCTAAAATATCTGACTCAGAAATTGTCAGATTTGATTAAGTCAATTGTTAATTAATCAAATTGTTTGCAAAACAACGCACAAAAATTGTTTGCAAAGCAACTTTTTTTGATAGCTCATTTGTTTTTAACTTTCTTTTTCCCTTGATATGCTAAATAGTTCTAAATTGTACGGTGATATACGCTTGCAGTGCCCGGCAAATTGAATGACACTGAATTTGGATTGCACCACAGGTTTTACAGTGTAGGGGGTAGTAGGGCAATCCCGAGTAGCTAAGATTAAAAAGCCTGCGGGATCTGAACTGCTTGACCCAAAAAATGTCAGACTTGATGAATATACTTATTCTATAGTTACGTACAATGCGTCAAAAAAAAGGATCAACCTGAGTAACTTTTGATCTAAAGATCAGATGTTCACGTTCTTGGTCTCATTCTTAATTTTTCGACGAGATGACCTCAAATATGCTAATTATTTAGGGCAGACGATGTTGTAAATTACAAAATAATACGCAAAAAGCGCACTTTTTCTGAATAAACACACCTTTTTTTCCCAACGGATTCAGATTTCTAACCCCCACGGTATGGAGGGTAGCCGCAATCTGGGAAATATAGTCACTGTAGTTTGATCAAGAGAGTGATTCAAAGTTTGGACTTTTTAAAGTTAATTTCAGTTTTTGCGTATTTCACCATATCTCGAGAACTGTTCAAACAAATGTTAAAATTTTTGCACGCAATTATAAAAGTTTGTTTGTCATTAAATTCACAGACATTAAATTTACAGACATTAAATTTACAGTGAGTGCTAAAAAATTACAAAAATTAATTATTTCGAAATAATTGGGGGAAAAATGGTACAGTAACACAGTTTTACACGCAGCAATACAGTTGTTTTTTTTTGTTGTTTGATGGTGTGGAAACTGTATATTTAGGAGAAAAGAAATTCATCAATAAAAGTGAACTAGACTTCGTATATTTTTATGTTACAGATAGATATCCTAATTTATTTTGTCCTCATATTAAAGTTTTTACAAATTGCCTCTTCTTTTATGAATTAAAATGCGGAAAGTCTCATCACAACTTAACATTTTCTCTCTCTTTTTCACAGATCATGTTGTTCTCCAAGATTGGTATTTAAGCATTACATTTACATCAGAATGGCTTCCAAGCGTCTTTGCAGCATTCACAAGATCCGGGAAATACAGTTGCCGCTCCTGGAACTGCAGGACCAATATGATGTCATCCGGGAGATAGGATCTGGTGACTACGGAAAAGTTATGTTGGCCGTTCATCGGGACACCCAGGCTAAAGTAGCCCTTAAGGCTGTCCCCAAAGCAACGACCACACTCAAGGACTTTCTCATTGAATTCCACTATTGTTACTTTTTATCTCCTCATAATAATATTCTTGATACATACGATGTTGCGTTTGAAACCGTAGAGCACTACGTCTTTGCACAAGAAGTGGCGCCCTATGGTGATGTATGGCAGGTAAGTGACGCAGATTAGACTATAGTTTATATGGCACACGTGGTTGTTACTTATTCTGTGATTTGTCTCCATAATATGAGAGCTATCATGCCAAAACTACAAGATTGTTTACTTGACATGGTTTTTCGAAGCCCTTTCGCCAAAGAAATAGAAAAGCCATGGTTAGAGTGCCTTACACTTGAAGCAAAGCTATGATTTTAAATTATATATCCCATTTTACAGTGAAGAATATCTGCTCATTAGAACGGACAAATAACTAAAATATTTTGAAAGTTAATAAACATTTTTCTAAAAAAAACGCCAATTTGGCGAAATTTTTCAACTTTGAGAAAAATGATCAAAATCATTGCCTTATTCTCATTGTTTTGCAAATTTTTATGAGCCTAGATAAGGCAGCATTGGAGTAAGTTTTAAAATATTAAAAAATTAAACCATAAATGCTTTTTATTTTCTCAAAAGTGTGGCTTTTCTTCATATTGGCGTTTATGCACCATTTTCAGAATAAACACAGAGATTGTTATTTAAAGATAAACTAAAGTTGAACTAAAAGTCATGAGTAATTGTTTCAAACTTACAGCAATTATAATTGTTTGATTTTGCTCACGATCTGATTGCGAGTCATAGTGGCTCAGGGGGTGGAGCGGTCACCTCCCAATGAGGTGACCCGGGTTAGTATCCCAGCGATATTTGGGATTCTAAACTACGAATTCCGCACCCTGCTCACACTGACTACAGTGCTGACGTAAAACATCCTCAGTGGTTGAAGAATCGTGAGTTAGAGTCCCCTTACCATCAAGCTAATCGTGGGAGATTTTCGTACTTTTCCTCTCCTGGCAACATAAATGCTGGTAGTTCCATCAAGAAGTCCTCCATGAAGGCAAATTTCTCCCAATTCCTAATCCAAGAGTTTCCTTGTCTTCTGGATTAGGTTCAAAATTACAAGGCTATGGAGTTGAGCAATGGTAGTAGTAAACTCACAATTGGGTTGGCTGTTCAACGACTGTTATAAAATATAAAATATGATCTGTTTGCAATCAGATCAAATAGTTAGTATTGTTGATTCATATAAAATGGGAGGAATAGAAAGCTGAATCATTCCCTGTGAGAAGCAGGCACTCAAAAATGTTTTCTTGAAAAGCGTGTTGATTGTTGGGGCTGTTACAACCCACCTGATTCATTCTCTTTTCCCAAAAGTAAAACTTTTAAAATGTCAAAATCAAACTGTTATTTGAGATTGTTTAATCTCCAATAATTTTTAAAAACAGTTGCCGACATCCGTACTATGTTTGCACTGGCTTTTAGATTTAGGTCTTAATAATTGAAGGCTTAGTTGTATTAAATGTTTTGTTTAAAGATTTGTTTTAAGGTGAGTCGTTATACCAATAATGCTAAAACTGATCTTTTTTATGTAGCTTTTTTCAGCAGCATCTAAACATGATATTTCTTTAGTTTTTTACACATAATATTTAGAAGTTACAAGTTTACACTGTGATAACTGTTAATGCATAACTTTGGCAAAAATTGTTTTCAAAAATTATGAACTGTGAACTTTTAATTTTTTAAAAAGTTTCATCAAAATTCTCTCATAACCCAATAAGTATTCCTGTTAACGTTAAAACATTATCACCGAATACAACTGCTATAATCTCAAACATTCCCAAATAATTTCAAAGCAAAATCATAAGTAGTTTCTTAGAAAAGTGGTGCGTCGAAAAATGTGAGTTTTAGCGTTTTAGCATTATTGATATGTGCCCTACCGACTCCCCTTTTAAAGCTTCTGAAAAAAAGGGACTTGAAGTTAAATAAAACTAAGACAAGATCAGTTTCATCATTATTGATATATGCTATACCGACACCCCTTTTAAGGCTTCTGAAAAAAAGAGACTTGAAATTAAATAAAACTAAGATAAGGTCAGTTTTAGCATTATTGATATATGCCATACCGACTCCCCGTTTAAAGCTTCTGAAAAAAAGAGACTTGAAGTTAAATAAAACTAAGATGCTTTGATGTATCGATACTGATATAGATGATAAAAGTTGCATTTTAATTGCATTGTAATATCTATTTTTAAATGTATTATCTTAGTATTTAAAATGTTAAGCCCTTGTAAATAAAAATAAATTAAATGTGTCACTCATAGTAAATTTAAAAATCAAATTATTTTTTTAATCTTAAATATAAGGAATGCATTTTTTCATGGGAAAAAAATTAAAAGTAATAATTGCAAAATGTCGTTATAATTTATATCGAAAATGATAATATTCTATATGCTAGAACAATACTTCCCTGTTTTGGTTAAATGTATGTAATTACTTTATTTTTTATAATTAATAGGTCATTGAGAAAGCTGGTGGCATGGAAGAAAATGACCTCAAAATTGTCATTCGTCAAATCGCATCAGCACTGGAGTTTATGCACAGTAAGGGTTTGGTGCACAGGGACATGAGGGCGGAGAATATGCTGATCTTCGCCGAAGATTTCTCAAGGGTCAAACTGACTGATTTTGGTCTCACAAGACGAACAGACACACTGGTGAAGAAGAGGACGAGGTCCTTGCCAACCTGTCCACCAGAAATCTGGGAAGCAGTTCACTTAGAAGGGTATACATTTATGTACTAGTGCTTGCTTATGAAGAACTATATCGAGTCATTTTTGTTTCTATCTTCTTCAAAAACCTGGCTCTATGCCTGCAAGACAGCAAGTTCCATTCGTTTTAAAACATTCACTGCGAATCAGTTTAGTTTCCACTCGTAAAGTACACCACAAATGAGAGTTTAATCGAGTAATTTATTTGTAGTCAACTAATAAACTGACTATGAGTACATGCGTTGAGCCTGAACACCATACATCCACTATGTATATCAAATGTTCATTGTTTGACCCCTGCAGAACCTGCTGGGGGAGAAAAAAGCACTCGCTTCCACGGGATCACCCTCTTCGGGAATATTCGTACTAGCGAGTATATATACGTATTAATGTGACGCGTAAAACGAGAATGCCGTATTAAGACCTGTAATCCAGGGCCATTAGTGTCAGGAAGGTTTCAGGAAGGTTGACGCAGTGGGCCGTTAGGAGAGCATCACGCGATAGCGGCTCTGAAGGATTTGATGATTATTTTGTAAGAGCTCATCAACAACATACTTGATGCACCTAATTTTTTGCAACTATGTTTAATTAGAACAGAAGTCGAATATGAAATTGGCTTAAAATTTGCTTGAAGGAGTTACTTCATATGACGCCACAGCGTTCGATATGGGCAAAACTTAACCTAGCAGTTATGGCTAGGTGTAACAAGCTCATTAAAAACATAAATATTCGCTTATAATTCGCTTAAAGTCATTATTTCATAGAGTTACTCGGCCTTCGAAGAATAACCTTAAAAGAGTGAAGTGTTTGTAGAATAAGATATGTAATATTTTATCGAACTAAACATGTATTTTAAAATGGCTTTTCTTATTGGCAAATATTTTATTTTAATTTAAATGATTTACTAATGATTACTAATGATTTACAATGCTGCAGTGATTATTTTCAGAAAGTGTTACTGACAAAATGCCAATGCATTGAAGAAAATAAGCTGGCTATGCAAAGATGCAAGCAGCGTCCTTATCGTTGTCATCTATCCAAACAATTCTTACGATAGTTAGGTAGCTGACACAACTCTTCTCTTAACTTTCATCTCTTTCTCCCCTCACGACATTCTTATAACTCAAAATGCAACCAACCAACACGTGTTCTGAAACTGAATTCAGAATTCTTTCCTGTTCGTTCATCAAATTCAAAAATGTCTCCTCTTTTCTTCAGTGTCGCTGAATTTGTTATTTGTAAATGATTATTAGCAATTTTAACTAATCATTTGTTTTGATGAATGTTAAAAAATTTTCCTGTTCAACTATTTAAATGTATTAAAATCCCAATTGGAGATTTGCCTCTTTCAGATAAATGACAGGATCCGCGATTTATTCCATGGATCTTGCACCTTTTTTGTCATTATTTTCCCTTTTGTTTTTTCATCATTAGATTTTGCTTATAACGCCGCTTGATTTCGTTACTTTAAATGAGTAACATCAATAGGCTTTGTTGGACGCAAACCAGCTTTCGGCTCCTGCGTCCCTAAACCAAAGGATTAATAGACGAAGACAGCTAGCCTCTATAGACATAATATAAGCCGATCCCCCTGAGGTTCAGTGGTATCCCTGTAGATGAATGAAAAATCAACAAGTTCATCAACAGCAAATAGAAGTTCTTGAAACAAGTTTACAGCCTCCTCTCCTCTCAACCACTACAGGGGTTGTGGAGAAGAAGATAAGTTTTTTCTTTTTATTCGATATTGCTTTTTCTGCTTTTTACTCTATCGATAAATAGTACTGTTCTATTAATTACGATACTTCTTTGAGAATACATTTACATCATCCACGTTGATTAAATCTCTAACACATTTAACATCGAGAGAAAGAATGAAGTGGGGATACGGCAAGCAGCGTACCCAACCATGCATGTAAAATCATCCAACAACCGTTTTATAGAGGACGTATGGTTTGCCTAAAATAAGAACTCCTCCAGACATTCGTCTGGACCTGTGGCAGTGACTATGGTAACGAGGTTTGACTATTTCAAGTAGGGGTGCGGGGTCACTTATTTGGAGTGGTTTCGGCTCCGGTCGGTGAGAGAAAGGGAATCTCTTTCTTCTTTCTATTGTGTTAGTCAGTTACCCTCACTTAAATGCGCCATTCTTGTTTCCTTAGCACCAGACGGTCTCAGACTTTGTGACGAGAGGAGTTCTTAGCTTTGACAAACTATACCTCCTGACAGTCACTTTGCTTCTTATGTGCATGCTCTGGATCTTAGTACAGATGAAGCTCTGTTAAATCTGAATATGTATGCTAGTGAATCAACTTGAATATACTAGTAAATCTTCTGTTATGCTAGTAAATCAACTTGAAAGTTGTTTTACTAGTATAACATTCCTCTCCGAGCAGTTCCCAGCTTCAGTTACGGTTTCAAAGAGTTGAACTTTTTCTCCTTTCTATATTCTATGTCTAAACTCTTCCTTCAACTCATACATTCTTCTGTGTATCGAAATGTTCCAAACGTTTCCAATGGATTCTTCGATTAGAACTCTAATTGATACCAAAATATATTCTTCATGTTAGTGTAAAGTGAAGCATTTCTGAAAAAGCCTTTCTGATCATGGAGGCTAAGGCTCCACGATTTCATGACCTACGGCATGAGGAGAATATTACACACCGATTACTTTTACTGATCAAATATTTCCCCTCGTTTTTTAATGATATGGTGGGATGATATGATTCGTCTTAGCAACATATTATGGTTTCTGTAGAATCAAACAATATGGTTAAAAGCTTCTAGCAGTACATAGAATTCAATAGTTTTATTTTATTTTTAACACTAGATTGCCTAAGGAAGTCATTTTGACTGCTTTTAATTTCAATTAGAAAAACAATGATGTACATAATGACACGATTTCTTAGAATTTTGTGACTTTTTGTACAAAATATAATTTTTTCTATTGTTAATATTTACTAATAACTTGCTATATAACTGTAAATAATGTGGAAAATGTTAAAAATTAATTTTAAACAAATTTATTTACGCATTCAAAATCCAGTCATTTTGACTGCTTTTGGGCAATATAGGTATATACTAATTTTCCGTCCTTCTAGTGTTAAGTGTATTTTTTGTGTATATGTTACCGTCAATGGCCGAAATCAATAGACTGTCAACTTTCGCCAGTAAATGTCAATAATCACATAGTAACTTTTCTGAATGTACGAAATATTTGTTATATCCGACTTGACATTAATTTATTCGTTGATATTATTATATTTATTCTATATTTAAAACATCTACTGAGATAGATTAGGAGAAACATCTGTGTTCGGAGTACCGGTTAAATGCATTCAGTGGCACTTGACCTTATAGAAGCATTGATGTAGGGCATACCGGGCTAAAGAATACCGGGCAATGGCACTAAACATTAAAAAACATAAGAGTAGCGTATGCGGGGGAAATATATATATTGGGCAGTAGCACTTGACTAGACCTAGTATATATTTCGGACCAAAGCGACTATGTGATTGTCAACATTCACCGGTGGAAGTCAACAAGCACTATTTTCGGTCATTCGCAGTAATATATATGTTGTTTTTTTTAATTTTGTCAGGTACACAGTAGAAATCGGTTCAGATGTTTGGCAGATGGGCATGTTCATCTTTGCTGGTCTCTTGGCCAGGTTTCCATGGGAGAAAGCTGATATCACCGACTCAAGATTTTCAGAATTCGTCCAGTGGCAAAAGAGGAAGATAACGAGGACACCCAAAGATTTCAGAAAGTTCACTCCTCGCCTTCATCGACTATTAAGGAGGCTAATGGATCCAAAACCTTCAAAGCGATACGAAATTAAAGAGGTAACAGACTAGAACTTAATTCGAAATTATTTTACGAACAACAGAGTTAACAATTTTTAGAGACTTAGAATGATTAAGTAGCCTGAGCAAATAAACTTAGACGGTTGCCTAAATTACAGGACCTAAGTATGTAGTAGATCCAGTGAGTTGGACACAGAGAAAAAAACATGGCCGATCATAAAATTATTGCTTTCAAAGCGTAGAAAACTGCATATTTTTAAAATTTATAGTATTATCCTTTCAAATTAATGTTAAAGTTACATTGAAAAAAAACAGAGGTTGAACTGTATGGGAAAAAACTTACTATTCTGAACTATTGGCGAGATTTAGTCAAAACTTGGCGTTTAAACGCAAATCATGTTGCTATCTTTTTAGCATAGTCATTTTTTTTGTTGTTATTATTCACTTTATGGGGGAACTGACGTACATTGGTCATATAGGCCTTCATATTCTCCTGATCTTAATCTTTGCGGAGCAATATTAAAGACAAATTTTGCGGAAATAATCCAAAAGCTATCTCTGAACTCAAAACTGCTATTCGGAGGACATGCATCGAATTCATTAATCAAGTTTTCAGAATTTTACTGCTCTTCTTTTGCACATCATAGCTATTAACAGCAAGCATACAGAACAAGTCATGAACTAAATCAGAATATCTTATTTATCTTCAAAATTTGCATAAAATACATAATTTTGAGCTTTTTTTTATTTAGCTCATATAGCTCAAATATTGTTATCTTGTAATAAGAAAAATCGGGTCCTTGCCTCTCTATAAGAAGAATATGTGATTACGCCCAACTATGTTATTTAAATTACATGGTTAAGCCTAATCTAGTTGTCAGGTTAATCTGGTTAGGTCTGATTAATCTGGTTAGCCATGGTTAGGCCAAACACACCCAGGCCATGGTTGGGCCTGGTTGTGCTTGGTGAGTTAACTTTGCAGCAATTAGGCTTCATTTATTATCATGCTGATTAAATTTTTGACTCAGATTTAAGTGACGTCACGCAAGTGTATCGATTCTGATTGGCTTCTGAGTCGTAGCATAAACGAATGCCACCATTCACGCACAATAACGTTGCTTACAGGCATCCAATTATTAATTATGCTGTTTGTTTAATTTCTTTAGTTCATTGTTTCTTATGGCTTTCTATTTAATTTCAGGTTTATAAATATCTCGGTGACAAATGGCTGATTTGCCGAAGTCCTAGAGCAACCACTACCGTCAACAAAACAGATATCGCCGAAGCGACAAAACTTGGCGATCATCTTGGCGATATGCTATCTAACCTCACTGTCCAAACAACGACAGAACACAGAGAAACGAGAGAACAGCGAATTAATCAGTGGGTCATGTCAACTTATGATGATTCCAGTGATAGCTAGACAGCCAAATGACGCCAAAAACTATTTTTTTCCGAATTTATTTTTATTTAAGAATTTCATACCACTTATTTCCACTTAAAAAATATCTATGACGGACATATGTGCGAGTTTGGATTGGAAGCATTGAATATAATCCGGTGAAACTGATACATTTACTGATACGATTAATTGATAACCTTTGATGACTGATTTATTTTTGCACCATTACCAATGAAACTGACAATAGTTAACTTTTTCTGAAATCACAGTCAAGTTTGAAATTGTATTTATAACAAATTAAGGAAAATTCTTAACATATTCGATTTTATTTTTTAAAAGTTTCGTTTCTTAGTTTTATATTAGGCGGAATAAATCAAAAACTACATGCAAAAGTCTCGCACTAAGCACTCACCACCTCGCCAAATGCGATACAATCTTGAATTAGGCGAATAAAATTGTGTTTTGGCGAAAGTATTGGCAAATTATTGTTTCCACTGGAATGAAAATTTTATAATTAGCTCGATCTTCAAAATGACGTCAGAATGAATTTTTCTTAACAAATTAGTATATTTTACTCGATAACGGTAGTTTTCGGTAGATGAGCCGCAAAATCAATTAGAATTGGGTCAAAATAATATAAGCCTGAAGCAAACTACCATAAAATAATTTTCTATGGGAAAAAAATTAATAATTAAAAATTGTTAAGGTTTGTATTTGGCGAAGACTTTTGATATTTGGCTAATTTACTGGCTAATAATTTGGATTCCTTAGCGCGGACTCTGCATACATTTCAAGTTCTTATCCTTCTGCATCAAAAATATTTTCAACTTGATTAAACTTATAACAAAAAGATATTGGAAATGGAATAGAAATGCTTTAAGAATTATAACAAATTTTAGAATAGTATTTGTTTCAAAAAATTGGAAAGTGTAAAAGATACATTTGTTAAATGTATACATTAAAAAATATTTAAATTTCAATAAGCGAAACAACAAGAAAGCTATTTCCAATAAATCATAAATTAAAATCAACATAATCTACTATTTACGTTTTCATAACTTATATTACATCTAACATTTTCAAAATTATGCTATGAAACGAACAATTGGAAGAATTGACATTGGAATTATTTAAGGAACATTGAATTGAATGGTATTTATTCCAACTTGTTGTAAATCGTAATACATGCATTTTTTATTTTATAAATTTTTAGAAACCTTAAGACTAAGTAAAATAGAAAGTATTTTATTGTCAATAAATTAACAAATAAGTTTAAAACCAAATGTATCAAAAATATTATTAACTGTATCAATTTCTATCAAAATTATTCCTGTAAAAAAGACAATCATATAGAATTTTTAACTATTTCAAGAAAAATCAACGAAAGTAAACAAGACGATCAAGAAAACTATACAAGAAAGTGTGAAACGCGTAAGAGGTACCTTTTTTTAAATTTTATTTTTAAAAAATCTTAAAAGTTCAGAAAATAAAAAGGCGAATAAAGGAAGCAATTTACTGTTTATAAATCAACTGCTATGTGTCAACGATTTCTGAGTAAATCAAGCGCAAGAAATATTGTTAGTTTTTTTTTCTTCACATTTATGAAACCTGCAACTGATTGTAGATTCTTTATTTATTTATTTGCACACTTGATTCTTGAAAGTCTGGAAAATATATTTTTCAATAAATTTCATACAGTAGTAATCCTTATTTGTAGTTCAAGATTAAAAACTATTCCAGCGTAAAACATATCTGTTATTGCAAGTAACGAATTAAGTTATGGCGAGAGAATATAATGAGAAATCAGATTGTTAAAGGGAAAATAGACTCTTCTTAGAAGAATCGTAAACAGTTTGAAAAGTTGACATTCGACTAAAATGTTCCAAAGTTATTTTTAGTAACTTTCTAGGCACCAAAGTGAATAACAAGGAAGCAGAGGACACTTAAAATTTATGTAAATAATTATTAATTATGCAACCAGTAAAGGATATTGTATACTTTATTCGTTTTATAACAAATCATAGCATTTTTGCTGATATTATTTGTTATAAAAATGAATAAAGCATAAAATATCCCTTACAGGTTGCATAACTAATAATTATTTACATAAAATAGCGATATATTTTATGATAACTGGTTTTTTTAAATATCTTTTAGTAAAACGAAAACACTTCTCATTTAATACATTTTCTTTAAGTACTAAATAGTTTGAAATGTTATTCGCGTCCTCAAAAAAATATATCTAATTTTTGTTAGAATTTTTTATGAAAGTTTAAATTTTCATTCATTTCAGCTAAAGCTTAAATTATTATTATTTACAAAGCTACGAATCTAAATTAATACTTCTGAAAATTTTTTGCCAATTTGTCCTTTTTTTAAGCCAAATATAATTACATTTTGTGATTTCTAATAAAAATTGAAGTTTAAAATCAAAATAAATCATTTTATATTGCATCAATTCGGATTTTATGTGCTAATTTATGTTTTATCTATGCTTTTTCATTAATCTTACAATGATTGAAAAATGTGTACTCAGACTTTCAAAATTTTATCAAGCATTATAATGTTTCCTTAAAATAAGTTATATATATTTTTAGGGTAATATATGCAATACACTACCACTTATTAATTTCAATAAACGGCTTTTTATTGCGTAACTTTTTGTTAAAAAAGTGCTAAATATAGTATTTCTCTGCAATGTACCTGAATCTGTTGCTTATGAAACTGTAATATTTCCGTATCAAAGAATAGAAGCAAAAAGTTCAAGAACATCTCTTCCACAAGCTGTCAAAAAAATTTTTTTTGGTCAATGCATCATATTTATTTAGACATCATGCTTGATGAAACGTCAGGAGAAGTTCATCGGAGATTAAGAAATAAATAAATTAAATAAAATACAAAAAAAACAATAAAATATCCTAAGTGTGTGAAGGGGTAGTGATGATCACTTATAAGAGGGCCTCTTTGATTAAATGAAGATATAAGACATCTGTATAAGTTCATCAGAGATTTAAAAAAGTTATTAAAATAAAATAAGAAAAAAAAACAATGAAATATTCCAAGTCTGTGAAGGGGTAGTGATTGAATGAAGGTATAAGAAAAAAAAAATAAAGGAGGGTTTTGAAGACTTATGAAGGGAGAATCTTTGATTGAATGAAAATAAAAGAAAAAAATAAAGGTGGGTTTTTTAAGCTCTCTGAAGGGGAAATCTTTGATTGAATGAAGATATAAGGAAAAAAATGAAGGAAGGTTTTGAAGACCTCTGAAGGGGAAATCTTTGATTGAATGAAGATATAAGAAAAAAAATAAAGGAAGGTTGTGAAGACTCTGAAGGGGAAATCTTTGATTGAATGAAGTTTTGAGCAAAAAAATAAAGGAAGGTTTTGAAGACTTCTGAAGGGGGAAACTTTGATTGGATGATGNAAAAAAAAACAATGAAATATTCCAAGTCTGTGAAGGGGTAGTGATTGAATGAAGGTATAAGAAAAAAAATAAAGGAAGGTTTTGAAGACCTCTGAAGGGGGAAACTTTGATTGGATGATGATATAAAAAATAATAAAGGAGGGTTTTTGAAGATCTCTGAAGGGGGAATCTTTGATAGGATGAAGATGTGAGAAAAATAACAAAAGAGGGGTTTTGAAGACTTTTGAAGAGGGAATTTTTGATTGAATGAAGATATAAGAAAAAAATAATAAAGGAGGGTTTTGAAGACTTATGAAGGGGGAATCGTTGATTGAATGAATATCTAAGAAGCAAATAAAAGAGGGTTATGAAGATATATGAAGAGGATATCTTTGATGAAATGAAGATTCAAGACAAAATTCATATCTTTTGAACAACTAACGAACGTTTTGAAATCAATGAGTGGTAGCGTAACTTAAAGTGTAAAATTAAGTTTTAATTTGTAGTTTCCCAAACCTAAATCGGCGATTTTAGCTATTTTTCAAAGTAAGTTTATTATTAAAACAAGAGAGTTCTCTTCGTGCAGGAATGTATCAAAACAGAAAGCAACCAAAACATGTTGAATAAAACGAGAAAAAAAAAGTTTTATCTTCTTCGCTTTTACTATCTTAGTCAAGCACAACCCCTATGACAATAAACTTTACATCACTTTTCTTGTGTCGTTCGGCCACCGTAAAAAGACGATAGAATTCGAAATCAGAATACGAGTCCATTAGTTACTAATTACAGGGACTACGTTAAAAAATTTTTAAGGAAATTTAATGAAGGGAAACAAATCCTTTTGCGATAATATAGATTCTTAAACGCAAATACGCCTCTTCGTTGAAATGTTCCTAGCCATAAGTCAATCGTCTTCTTACGGTGACTGGACTATAAGAAAAATTAAATTTTGTCAATAACTCTCGTCTTCCAATGTGTCCTCTTGACTTTGCTATCCACTACCAATTCATGTATCGAAAAAGAATGTATCTATCGAATGAACTGTTACCGACAATCTGTAGTTTTGTTATAATATTTTGTTCCTTTGGATGAAATCTGTGATAGAGTTTATGAAAGTAGGTCAAAGAACTGTTATAGCTATTGACTTTGAGTGTGTATTGCATATTTTTGATTTTTGTGTTCTGTTTTTGCTTTCGAAATTTTTCTTAGAATGTAGAATGTATATGGAGTATGTGTTGCATATATATGGTAGAGGTTTTTGTTTGCAAACACAATGAAAAAGGAAATTTTAATACTGATTTTGATGTTTATTCTTGTTTTTTTACTAGTGAATTAGCATTTGTAAAAAAGTAGTCGAAGCTATATTGAACTCTTCTGAAAGTACAATTGAATTCTAATTGTTTAAATGAATCTTTTTTTTAAAAAAAATATTTCCGCATCTTAATTGTGACATATTTTCTGTACTTCAAATTGCTTATAAGCAATTTATTCCTTTTTAAAATAAAGACGTCCATCTAAAGTTTTTGGGTTCTCTATTTCTTGTCTCTTAGAACATTTCTTAGCGAAAGTTATGCTTCTGTAGACGTAATTTTAAAAATAAAATGTTCGAAAAATTGTACAAAAATCTTTTATTTTTATATCACAAATGCAGATGTATCCCAATTTTTTTAATCAATTGATGTAAAAAGTTCGATAATTTGTAATTTACGACACTATACTCTGTTGCAAGTTAAGAAAAATCTTTATCTCTATGGAGCGAGACCGCTTGCATCGAAATAGATCGCGAACTCCCAGCGGGAACGAATACCAACATCACCAACGCTTACAACCACAGCATTATTTTTGCTTGCTTTCGTAAGTATTGTGAAAGTAAAAAACAAAAATTTCTGAATAATAAACTAACTGTAGTATGAATTAGTAAAAATGATATTTAAAAATCATTAATATACTTCTTTCTGTTCGCTTTTAAAGAAATTGGTGAAAGAATAATAAATTGTTTCTCGCAGACGATTTTCTTCAACAGCGAAATAAGAGAAAAATAATTCTTTATCACGCATTTGATTTGTTAAGCAAATTTTTGGTGGTCCAATTGGGTATAATATAGCCTACGTCACAGGTTGTGTTGTTCCTACTAAATTTAACCCATGAANGTCCAATTAAATCCAAGCAAAGTCATATAGTTGTTTCTTTTTCAAGAAGGAATGTTCTTATTTATCGAAATATGCCGCCAAGTCTAGGATTCCAGTAGATTACGAAACTATAATCTTTTTTTAATAACTCTTTGATAGGTATCGTAAACGATAGCATGAATTAAATTTCTGTTTGACGCTTTTAACTTTTAAATTGTTTCGAAGGCATATTTTCATAATTTGACAAAGAGATAAAACGGACTATATGTAATTGTGGAGGATTACTTAAATCCTATACCGCAATGAGCTTTTCTTCACTTGCAACGGAGTATAATACATTTATTTACTGAAAAGATATGAGATGCTTTATGCTAGGTGTGAAGTTTTGATGTTTATAATTTACTAGAATCTTGTAGACGAAGCATGTAAGTTTAAAAATTATAACAATTTCAAGTATGAAAAAATTGTTCCATAACATAGGTTGGGAATTTGATCAAATTACGAATTACTTTAAAATACGGATTTGATATAAATACGAATTATTTTGTGCAAAGGATCAAATAAAAGTTCATAGAGGTTCAAAATAAAAGTTCATCATAAAAGTTCAATAATAAAATTAAATCATAAAAGTTCATAAAAATCTGGTGCAAATGCTACCTTACAAATTTGTTAAATTTTTTTCACTGAGGCATCTGAAAGATAATTTAATATTCTCAGAGTCCTAGCGCCGAAGACACAGAGGAGCAGAACGTGACCAGAAGCACTCGAGTGCTTCGAGGTTAGAACCTAAGACATTTTACAGTTACTCATTGAAAATGAGTATTAGTAGCGCTTTTACGCTTTCTGAGTATAATTGTTACTGTGAATGACCGTACTTGGTGGTTGTTGACTTACACCGGTGAATGTTGACAATCGCATAGTTGCTTTGGTAAATGTTCGAAAGATAAACTAGTTCAAGTTAAGTGCCACTGCCCGGTACGGGCCAAGTGCCCGGTACTCCTAACACTGATGTTTCTCCTAATCAATCCTCAGCAGATATTAAAATAGCGAAAACAAAATAATATAAACAATTAAATTAATATCAAATCGGATGTAACAAATATTTCGGACATTCACTAAAGGTACTATGTGATTGTTGACATTCACCGGTGAAATCCGATATTCTCGGTCATTCATGGAAGCATATGAAAAAAAAAGCGTTCTAGAAAAGCAGAGAAAGCGTTGATGACGGTTATTGAAGGACGCAACATTGAAAGAATACATTAAGGAGACATGCTGTTGTGTAAAAGCATGATTGGTGTTATGTTTCAGCAAGTTTTTTCTATTGCGTGTCATTTTATTTCACATCAAAAAATTTTATTTCAATTCACTAAAAATTTATATTTTTTGAAGAGTAATTGGTT